GTGTTGGTGGTTTCACTCAAGAAACATTAATCACTGCAACACAAGAGGGCAAAAGAACAGCAAACTTCTCTGTAAACAATACGGCCCTCATTTGAAAGCACGTATTTGAAATCTCAGAACCAACAAGAGCTTATCAAGGTCCCTAGACAGAACTTAATGGGGACCAAAAAAAGCCCAGCAAACTTCTTTTACACATAACAGTAAGCCACAAACCACAACAGAAAATGCTTCTGACAATAGTAAAAAAATTTAAAATAACTGAGAACAGTTAACGAAAAGGTACAGGCTCTTCATGATTGCTGTAAAATTGTACTAACAGATACACAGCCTCAGCATATGGAGTGACTTACAGTGGCTCATCGTGCTAAAACTTTTTCATGAACATTTAGTATTTCCAAGGCTTCTACAGAAACAATTCTGACCTCAGACTGACTTAACTGAAACAATGCACAACCATTTTAAAAACTCACAAGATCTAAAACTGATTAGTTGTCTCACAGTATTTACAAGTTCGGATAAAACCGTATTATACTTATATAAATAAGATTGATCAATAATTTCTAAAAAATCCATTATTTGATAATCTCTGTGCCAAACCCGGTCATACACTAAAAAGTTTTAAAGAGCAAGCTAGGCACTGTGGTGCACCCCTGTAATCCTAGCTACTTGGGAGGCTGAGGCAGGAAGATCACAGGTTCAAGGTCAGCCTGAGCAATTTAGCGAGACACTGTTATGAAATTAGAAAATATAAAAAGTGGCTGTGGATGTAGCTTAGTGGTAAAACCCTTGCCTAGCAACCATGAGACTTTCAGTTCAACCTTCAATACCTTAAAAAACATCCCTTAAAGTCAGATATGAAACATATCCATATGTAAACTTTTTCTCACCTTTAAGGACGTAAAATTTCCATCACCTTTTAGGAATGGATAAAATAAAACATATTCCGATGGTCAGGACATACGGTTTTCCTGCTGTTTAGACCCATCTTTCTGCATCAACTGACTTATACCATCGTGTGGCTATGAATGATTTTGTCTGAAAAGAGGAAGTGTGAGACAAAACACAATCCAAAGTAGGTCAGTTCTGCCGCCTGTTAGCAGTTCTAGCAAAAGGAAGTAGAAGAAAGCAGCAACTACTGACAAAAATGAGCAGGAGGAGCTGCAGAACCACACGGGCATTTGTTTTGCTTAAACCATCCCTGCTCTTTACAATACAGACCGATGCATTTAGCTACACTGACTGTGTTCGGGGTCAGACCCTGCTGGCTGCCTATGCAGAGCCATCCTTTTCTCTAATACAAAGAGGGAAAAGCCTGAACGTTGTTCAAGGACCAGCGGTCAGGTGACTCAAGAGGTAAATTAGAGCAATCTTGATGAATCTGTGCCAGTCAAGGTAGCACGTTCATCTTGCCGGTACACTGCCCTTGATTGTAAGGCACCGATTCCAGCTCTACGGGTGCAGACATGCTGTTATTACGTGATGAACCTGCATGTTCTTTCCTCATTTAAAATCATTTAAAGAGTACTAACAACATCTACTACAGTAAAAAATGCTATGAGGTGGTTATACTATACTATTCAGGGAATAATGACAAAAACACCTTTCTACATCTGCTCAGTATGGATGCGATGTTTTCCTCCAGATGCTTCCTACCTGTAGGGGCAGGATTCTGGATGCAGAGCCAATGTCTATGGAGAGCCCACTGTGCCTGATTTAGGAATAGACCGGCAGAGGAATGTAAAGGGAAGTCTATGGCGGGCTCTTCTAGAGGACCTTTCTTGTCTCTCATGAAAGAAAGAGCCGGGAGAATGGAGAGTCTGTCTTTCTGCCTCCGGCTACCTGGAGACCAGCGCCACTTTATAACCAACGAAGCCAGTTTAAACAGAACCAACACATTAAGAACGGCAGAGCAGAAGATGGAG